CGTGCCTGCCCCGGCGGCCCGCCCCTCCGCGCGAGAACGGCCCACTGCCGCCAGCCCGCACGCCCAGCACCCGCCTGGTCCCCAACTTACTGAGTATAAGGAGAATGCCGACGGTGAACAGGACCACGGCAAACACCAGCCCCCCGATCCTCAGGCTCTGGTAATCTGGGGGGAGGAGACCCAGGGGCTTGTTCCTGCCGGGCTCAGGGAAGGGGGCAGCCTCTTTTCCTCCCCATCGCACATGCACATGTGTCCCGGCCAGCACACCCATCCCCGTGCACAGCGATGCTCACCATAGTTAAAGGGGTCCTCCTTCTTCTCCTGGGTGGCCACTGGAAATAAGCAGACAAGGGGCGTGAGGTGAGCAAGACTCCCCACTCCAGCCCCCTTGGATCGGAGGGGCGGCTGTCCTCCGGGGCCCCGCAGCCTTTTCCCGCGCCCCTGCCACCTCCTGCATGCGGGAAGCTCTTGGCACCTACCGTCTGCCACGGCCACCGGCACCAGCAGGGAGCACAGGAAGATCAGCAGTGCCTCCATGGCTGCTGCGAGAGAGGGGAGAAGCAGGCTCAGCACCCAGGCGGCTGATGGAGGGCACCGCAACGGGGCTGGGGTTCACTGGAGGGACTACAGGCAACCCGCGCCCGACGGCGCGGACAGGCAGGGCTGCACAGCCCTTGCAGCCAGCGCCGGGAGAAGGAGCCAGGCCGGCCCTGGGAAACACCCAGGAGCTCGGCCGTGATACCTGGTGCCGTAGCTGCGCCCAGCCTGACGGGGACCTGGCGGCTCGCAGGCGCAAAGGAGGGGAAAGGTTTGAGCAGACAGACAGACAGACTTTGTGTGGGGTTCTGTGGTATATTTCCAACCACTTCTGCACCGCTGGCTCTGCTCCTGGCACGGATCTCGGTGCAGTCTCAAGGTTGCACTGCAGGCAATGGGGCCAGCACAAGGGCTGTGATCTCTCCGTCAAGGTCAACACTGTGCCCTTCACCCAGAGCATACTTTAATTTGTCCCAATTAGCATAGCAATTACAGCACATTCCTACAATGAGGCCAGTGGCCCTGATGGGACACGAGCTCGTGGCCGCACTTGCCCCTCCCAGCTCCCCGCGCTCGCCTGCAGCAGCAAGGAGAGACCATAAATAGCCCTCAGTCCCCCCTCACAGCTGAGCTGAGCCTGTTCCTGCCCCTTCGCAAGCACCGACACACTGCCCTTGTGCGGGGGCACCCGGCTGGAGCACAGAGCCTTCTCAAGGGATGCCAGCCTGGGTGTAACAACGCTGTGGCCGGGCTGTGACACTCCCTGCCAGCTCGGGCAGGGGCTGCACATCACCATGCCCCAAGCTGCTGCTGCACCCATTCGGGATGGGCATCCTTGCTGCTGGGACCAGCCAACACCAGGCACCGCTGCTCTGCAAATGGAGGGCCCTGCCGGCACACAGGGTACCTATTAACTGGCCCCGAGCACAGCGGGGCCAGCACAAGCATCCTCTCTGCTCCCCCCGAGGGGACAGGCAGGGGCCAGGGGAGCGGCTGCCCTCCGTCCTGCCTTCCCGGTGGGTGGCTGCATGCGGGGGGACGCCTCTTTCCAGGAGGAGAGGGCTTGGCAGACGTGCCTCCTTCGAGGGGGCAAGCCGGGGGCTCGGGAGCACAGAGGCAGGTGGGGGGCTGCCTCCCCGGCCGCCCGCAGCTCGCCCGCCTGCGCGCAGGGCTCTGCTCGTTTGTGTTTTGCTGCTGCCAGGCAGTCACCAAGCGCCCCGAGGACAGGGCTCGGTGGCCATACATGGTGCGGGAGCGCGAAGAGGGCTTGGTGCTGGCGCAGGGGAGGAAGGGGGGCTATCGGGCGCCCTGCACAGCACTGATAGCAATGAGTGCTACAGAGCTGCTGCAGCTGCTGCGCTGGATTAGTGCCGATAAGAAAGGGGCCCTCGACAGAGCAGGAATTCAGCTCGCTGACGGATGCAGGTCCCCAGCGTGGCACTATTCAGCCCCTCCAGAGCCTGACCTGATTCAGATGCAACCTCCATCCCAGCCCACCCTGGCTGCCAGAGACGGGGGGAGGCAGCTCAGCTGCCCCAGGCCAGGTCCTCGGGGCACCAGGGTCCCCCAGATCCTGCCACGGCCCCTTGTCCCAGTTAGTGCTGTGAAGGTGCCCAGGAACAGCACCTTCAGCAGTGCTCAGCAGTGCTCACCAGCCTGCCAAGGCTGGCCCCAGCGGCGTTTCGCTCCACGGCTGGTCCCCAGCGCTGCCTTCGGGACCCAGCTCCTGCCCCGCACTCAGCCCCACGAACGCAGGGAGCACATTTCCAGAACCCGATTTATTCATCACAACAAGTTGCGTCCCATGATAATTCACGTCCTTCCCTCCCCTTCCATGTCTTGTCATTTTGAAGTAAACGTGGTTTTATCTGAACACTGGAGGGTTTAATTTCCCTTGCCTGCAGCTGCCGCTGCCATTGTGTAGCGCGGGGCTGCGCTGCCACGCTGCGCTGGAGCGTGCCGCTGGCTCCCTGTGCCCAGACAAGCCCCCTCGTTTGCTGAGGCACGTAATTCTGGATAATTACCAGGTCTTACAAACACGTACAAAGAACCCAACAGCTGGTGATACAGTAACTTCTAGTTGCGCATTTTCATGTGTCCTTTATCTCACGTCCTTCCTCTACTTACTGCCGAGGCTGCCAGCACGGAATCAGTCATTAACCGTTATAAGGGTGTTGTATGTGCACAGGGAGGTGCAATACAGCACATGCCATTGCTAGATGAACGGTATTAATTGGCTCTTATAGCGTATTAATGATGCCTTTATTTTTTTAACAAACCATTAATCAGATTTTTGACTGTTTATTTTGCCATTGACTACTATTGTAGCAGCAGCAGCTCAGTGACATCCCCCGGAGCACACGCTTGGGAATTTGCCTTATTCACAACCGTCCCTGCCCTGCCCTGAGCCCCATCACCCCAACCAAGGCGTGTGGGAACCTTCTCCCAGGGGCCGAGCTCTCCTGCCCGCAGCCCCGGTGCGGGTGCAGGGGTGCCGGCCGGGCGTGCTCGCCCCACGCACGCTCCCCTCCCACAGCAGGCAGCCCCCGGCACTTCCCCAAGGCAGCACTTCTCACCCTGCGCCCCACAGCCCTCAGTCTGAGTCGCTCATCACCCACGAGCCATCCACCCTCACACCTTTTCTATTTCGGGGTGCTCCCACCGACGCCCGGAGAGGTGCTGTACAGCACAGGACAGCCCTGCCTGCAACGGTAAGAGGCTCTGACGTGCAGGCCAGACTTCCCAGACCGGCTTCGAAAACACGTGAGCCATGTTGCTGGCTGCGTTGCCACGAAAGCGAACATCTCCCAGCTCCAGCACCCGCCGAAAGCTTCGCCCCCCGCTCTCCCGCAGCCGCCGCCAGCCCTCCGCAGCCGCCCGAGGAAGCAGGCCAGCGCTGGGGCCCCGCTCAGCCACAGACGTTGTTTCCAGTCCTCCGCTCAGCTTTTGGCTCCTTGCATTTAGTGCAGCAGAGTTCACTTTTTTGCCAAGCCAAGCACACAGCACACATATGTTCTTTGTTTTTCTAATTCAACTCCTAAAATTCACACACTTCCGCACGCTAAAACTTCTCTCCGCACGAGTTAACCATGGGGATTGGCGGTGTCCTTGCTAGAAAAACAAACGCAGCATTCTGGAGTGCAAACGAGCCCAGTTTTCCTCCAAGGAAGCATATGCTTTGCTAAGTGCCACAGGTTTTTTGGGTTGTTTCAAGCTGGCCCACCCACTTTTTCATGAAGCTGAAATAAAGTGAGAAGAGCAAACATTGCAAAGGCTTTGCCGTTTTCCCCGCTTGCGCCTTCAAACCACGGTCTTCAAGGCACGGAGGCGCCGCTCCCTGCCCTCCGTTCATGCCGAATCCAGCTGTGCCTTTGCACAAAGGCAGCGGAAAAATAACAGCTGCCCGACGGGCGACGGAGCCCCGTGCTCGGCCCCGCGGGCACAGCCCGCTCCTCATCCACACTGCGCCCCTGCACAGAAGTCTCCCTGTTTTCTCCCCATTAGTGACACAAAGTTTGCGGTCACCAAACCGAGCAGCCACACACCCACACAAACCACGGGGAATGGGCAGCGCAGCGCACTTTGCATGCGACTTGGATCAAAACATGTTTTTTTCCTGTTAAAACTGCAAGATCTGTCTTAATACAGAGAGAGGCAGAGCGGCACAGGAAGCGGGGCAGTGGTGCCCAGAGCTCTCCCTCCCTCTCACTTCGACTCAATCTGCAGTTTTAAGAGGGAAAACCAAATATTTACCCCCCCCGTCCCCATCTGCACGGCTGAGCGAGAGCAGGTGCCAGGAGGAGGACATCAGGCCTTTGGGAGAGGCCCCCGGGTGAAGGCGGCAGCGACGCAGACCGAGGGAGTACGTGGAGTTTGCTGTTCGGGAGCTTACCTGTGCTTTCACCGAACCCCTCTCTGACAGGATGGGGATGAGACCAGGCTGAGGGACTAACCCTGCGCCACAGAGCCAGCCAGGGCTGGACCTGCCCCGTGGTGGGGGTTTGCAGGTGGTGCCCAAACAGCCGCCCT